CCTCACACACGTCTCTCTCTCTCTCTCTCTCTCACACACACACACACACACACACACACACGCACACACACACACACGCGCGCACATGACTATACGGGCGATGACTGGAGGGACGGATGGCTGGAGGGACGGAAGGCTGTTGGCGAGAAGGCTACCCCCGCGTGAATAGGAGCCCCCCTTGCCCCTCTTTTTCTTTCTTTCTTTCTTCTTTCTTCTTTTCTTTCTTTTGTCCTATCTTTTTTTTCCCCCTTTTTTTGTTCCTCCTTTTGATTGTTTTTCCTGGCAATAAAATGCCCCGGCAGACAGACCAATGGGTATCCCTGAACCCTTGGCTATCGCTTCCCCAGACCCTGCGGGGCAGAGTGGGACACATGTGGGCCGGGGAACGATTCACTCATGGGGGTCCCAAGATGTATTGACCCTCACCCCCACCACATACCAATGAATGGCGTGCTGGCTTGTTCTTCTTTTTTTGTTTTTGTTTTTTCTTTTTTCTTTTTCTTTTTTTCTTTTTTCTTTTTTTTTTCTTTTTTTCTTCTTTTTTCTTACTAACGGGAACCGTCAGATGCGCACACTAAGCGTAGGGATGGAATAGGAAGCTTTCTTTAGACGCAGGATGTGCGTGGCGAAGCGATGACTATATTAGGAGTCGACGACGGTAGAACTATTCATCGGCCTATCTGACGACAACCGGCTACGGTAGCAGTAGGAACGAGTGGCGATCCGGTTTTGGCGGGGGGGAGAGATTTTTGGCATTGCGGCAGGCGGCATGGATTTTTTCGCCGACTGGGACCAGGAGGAGGAGCGGCTTGAGCAGGAGGAAGTGGTAACACTCCTGGGGTGAAGCACGCTTGTGATCCCGTTCCCCCTGTGCTCTGACCGTTCGCCATGCAGACTTGCCCCGCGGCAGTCGCCATGCCCAGCTACTGCCCGCACTCGCCAACGTTGAACGCATATCTGGCCCTTGTGCTGTTTCTCGCTCTGCTTCCCAACCTTGCGCTGGCGGGTCTGCTTTTTGCCGCCTGCCTCTCCGAAACCGTGCTCCTGCGTACTTCGACCAGAGGCTTTGCCTCGCTTGTGGCCGRCACTATCTGCTTCGTGTCGTTTTTTCTTGCTGGCTGCCTTTGCCTGTGCTTTCTGCTTGCTGATTCGGGTTGGCTGGAGG